CGAAAACGCTACTGCGAAAAGACAAAAACTAAGATTTTCTTTCTCTACCAGACCATCGTTGCCTTCCATACACGTAAAACGACCGGTATTTCAGACACTCCTTCACCCTCGTTAGCTCATGCAAGTGGAAGGGTGTAACTACCGCCTCACACACACACACACACACACACACACACACACACACACACACACACACAGAATCACCCACCCACGTTCATGAACTCCCAACTAATGTCTACACAAGGAAGCAATCCTCGGCCACATTCAAGGGAGCTCAACTCTTTGAGTCTCCTCTTCCTTTTCAGGTGCCATCATGACAGGAAGGCAGGGCGCTTTCCAACTGTTCCTATCTGGTGGACGGCCCTTTCTTTCGACTCTAAACATAGTTACAAGCACTTTTCGCAGCCACATTCATGGAACCTGACTGATACTAAGTTAGTGCTTACTCTTGCAGTATGTTGAATTTCCTCAGCCGCTAAAGTCAAACCCCTTGACTGAGTCGCGTTCCTTTAAATTGGATCAGATATTGGGGGTCTCTCCACTACTCGCCACCAGCCATTTTGGTCCGGTGGTGCGGAACCGGGCTGGGCTCCCGAATATACGGACGGATATTTGATTTTCAAGYCGGGAAAGGTACCGGTGGTAAGGGGATCCACAACGAAGGGCATGGGTGTAATATGCTTATTGCCGCCAAGAAGATGAGAAGTGGATGCCGGGGGGTYGTAGCCCCATAGCAGTAGGGGGGACGAGTCGGACGACCTTTCCGAGAACAGAACGGTAACTATGGCAACCAATAACAAGCGTGGCCGGGGTTGCAAAAAACACGGTTGCAATCTTTCTTAAACCAGCAAAAACCGTATGAACACTTGCAAAAAGGAGGACAGTCTTCATCGATTGTGCAATGGTCCTGCAGAACTCTGCCTTTGGCGGCGTATTTGGCGATGGCCATGTGGCCACGATATGCCTTAGGCTGCTCATCATGATGCTTGACAAGGCGAGCAGTCGCATGCGAGGCAGCAACTAGGAATACCATGCCCACAATGAGGATGACAGCCTTCGAATTTAAACCACCAGGAGCATGTTGGTATGCCATTGGGGGGGGGCGGGGGGAGAGAGAGAGAGAGAGAGAGAGAGAGAGAGAGAGAGAG